GTGTTTTCCCAAATGGTCAGCTCACTTCACTTTGCCTTTGTTTCGGTTCAAAATGTGCTCACTGCTCAGTGCGGGGGGGTTGGATCTCTTCTGATGGCCACCCAGAAATCGTGAAAATCCAAAAGGATTGGCCTTTTCAGAAAGTCGTTGTGTACCGCAGCAGTGTTTCAAAAATAAATAGAAAATCAACGTATTGGGCACTCTTGCTGTCAGATGAAAAAAGTGATCGGTTATTGAGTGGCAACCAGTCCAGGCTTGACGTCCCTGCTTTTGCTGAAAACCAAGCCTCGAAATGGTTCCATATTCTCGATGTAAGCTTATTTGTCCATACATGCGACGTGAATGATTGGTCGCCAGACCAGAAGTCTGACTCGTGCGTGAGCCTTAAGGCCATATGGATTGTTCTTGAGTTGGACTTCTTGTCCACCCCTCCAGATCTAAGCTCGGCGTCCTACACCATCGACTTTGGCTCGGCGTACGACGAACTCAACTTCACTTACAATGACACCGACTTCGTCCTCAACCCCGAGACGCAACCCTGCAGCCCGTTCACCATCCCGGAGGCCGCCGCCGTTTTTATCAGCGTCTTTTACGTCGTCGTCTTCCTTTTGGCCATTCCTGGGAATCTGGTGGTGGGCCTCGTGATCGGTCTGAGCAAGCAGGCGCTCCCGCCTTCGGACCTCTACCTCCTGCACCTGGCCGTGGCCGACGTGCTGCTGGCTGTCACGCTCCCGTTCTGGGCCACCTCCGTCACCAAGGGTTGGGTGTTTGGAGACCAACTGTGCAAAGTGGTCACCATCGTCCAAGAGCTCAGCTTCTACTCCAGCATCCTCTTCCTGACGTGCATCAGCATGGACCGCTACATGGTCATCGTCCGAGCCATGGAGGCCCGCCGGTCGAACCGGCGGCTGGTCAGCTGGGGAATCTGCGCCGCGGTCTGGACCGTGGGAGCCCTCCTGTCCCTGCCGGGACTCCTGTACTCGTCGTTCTCGTCCTCCGGTCACTTGGTGTGCGCCGAGTACTACGACCCGCGCAGCGCCGACGACTGGCGCCTGGCCACCAGGGTCCTCCGCCACTCTCTCGGTTTCATCGTCCCGCTGGCCGTCATGCTGCCCTGCTACGGCGTCACGATCCAGCGCCTCCTTCGCATCCGCGGCGGGTTCCAGAGGCAGCGGGCCATGCGGGTGATCGCGTTCGTGGTGGTGGCCTTCCTGCTGTGCTGGACGCCGTACCACGTCGCCGTGATGACGGACACCTTCTTCCGCGCCAAGATCGTGCAGTACGGCTGCCCCGCCCGCTTGGCGGTGGATCGGGCCATGCTGGCCACGCACAGCCTGGGCCTGCTGCACAGCTGCGTCAACCCGGTGCTCTACGCTTTTGTGGGAGAGAAGTTCAGGAGGAGGTTGCAGCAGCTGATGAGGAAGGTGGGCGTCCTGGAGAAAGCGTCGGTGTCCAGGACCAGCAGGTCTTCGCTCTCGTCCGAGATGACGTCCGCGTTCATGTAAAGAACTCTGAAGGGACACTTGTCGAAATCAACAAACTTGTGAATATTCTGCGATCGCAATTTCTGTCGTCTCCTTTTTTTTTTT